TGTGGCATATATTATAACAATACAACTCTTTGTGCGTTAAACATCGATAGGATTGAGTCAGCGGATTAAGCCAAAAAAATATCTTAGGCGTGTTGATCTTTTTTTTTAGACTTAGAGATAAGAATATACTCCCCAAAAAATGTCATAGTGGCATTGGCCTTAGATTTTCAAAACCTGTCCATTTTAAATAACTACAATAAATTATAATAATTTGTAGGTATATAACGGACTTAATATACTAAAAGTATGAAATTGCAGCGTATAACAACATTATCAACAATAGAACCTGTGGACAATAAAAGTGATTTTGCGCATCTTACATCGATGCAATTCCCGTCACATCCCGTTGTGCATCGTATAGGGTCGAGGGTAATCAAGTGTCGTTTTGGCCAGCGCTATATGAGACATACTTGCAAACAATGACGTGAAAACGGTTGGTCATAGATCAAGATTTGCGCCTGGAATTTCGTTACACTGCACAAGCGCACAACATCATAATGCATAAATTATAACACATTGAACTTATTTAGGCGAAAAACTAAAATAAAAACCTCTCGCTATTTGTTATTACGGTAGGAACTAGGAACTAATCGCGGGGTAAAAAATTGCAGTAATGCATAAAAAATGGTTTCGATGACGTTTCACGATTCTATCCGATTGAAAAAAATTGCGGTTATAATCTCAACYCGAATACCATGACGATTAATAGGGTCGTCTGTGTTCATCACGGTTAGGTCGGCTGTGCTTAGAAACTCATCGGATTTCGCTGATAAAATTGAAATTCCATAGAGGTTCTGTATAAACGCGTGTTTTTTACGTACACTAGGGACCGCAGAAAGMTCGGCCGACCGTCGTATCATTTTTCATCGTACGCAGTAAACTTTCGGTAAGCGGTGGGTAACCGCGGTATTTTCCGCCGGTCACTCTTACAAAGACTGCGGTATTTTCCGCCGGTCACTCTTACAAAGACTGCGGTAATTGTCACCGACCACCTACTGTATTCAACGTATTTGCATCTTCACCATTGCCTGATTCTCGAGGATTTTTAATCAATTTTTTTTCATTTCATTGTCTGCGTATGCGTATGCAGTATTACAGCTATAAA